TCTCAGAATAGCCAGATGAGAAGAAGGCACGAAGACAAAGTGGCTTAAAAGACACGAAAAAACAGCAAAGTAAACAGCGACCTCAATAGAAAAATGAAAACACACCATACCCGCGTGGAGAACCAATAACAACAGTGCAGAAAAGAGAGAGAAGAGACAGCTTGCCCCACAAATTCCGAAGCACACACTAACCCCTCACCGCCTAGCAGACTCGACTGGAACTGAAAGTCTATACCCAGAGACAGACAACAGACACAGTCCGCCAAATTTGTTGAGTAGAAGTTATCGGAAATTCAATGACTTTGGTATCGCTCAATTGAGCATTTTTTCTTGCGAATATTTTGGTATACAACTTGCCTATACTTGCCTTTAAAATGGGGCTATTTTTGGGAACGAATTCGCTTACTACTCATATACGAGAAATGTGTGTGGGGGCAAAATGCTAGTGAAGCGGCGCGCAGGATTAACAGAGCTGAAGGCGATGATACGCTTACAGAAAGAACGGTTAGGAAGTGGCTCGCGATGTGCACAGCTGGAAGAGAACAGTTTAGAGGATCAGTCGCGCTCATGCCGTCCACGGAAGCCCATTTGCTCTTTGTACAGTTCTGTTAGAACATAATTTCCTTCATAGTCTTATGTACTTTTTGTGCACATATAGTCTCCTAAGTGCATAGAAAACTCCGAATGTGAGACGTAATTTTAGTTTCGCTTTCACAGTGCGAAAAACCTTCTTGAGGAACAGTTTGAGCTTTGAATTCGCAGAGATCTGGGCTATCGAGTGAGCTTAGTGTAGCCTAAGAAAAAGCGATCCAGAGACCTTAGCTGAGCAAATAAGGCAAACCAAGTGTGAAATATAATATTATGAAAATAAAGCAGTGTCAGAATCCCCGAGATTCAAGCTTATGGATGATTATTTGAGTTTTATCCTAGTTCTAAATAAAAATATCCGTTCAGCGAGAAAAAAAAACTAAGAATTCGAGGGTCAAAAATAACTTTCATCGTCCGCAAAGCGTTGATCTTGCGCGCCGCTTCACTACCATTTTTTCCCTTACGCGTCATTCGCGCATGAGTATCATGAATTTCTTCCCACAACAGCTCCATCTTAGATTAAGTATAAGCACGTTGTATACCAAGATGTTCGCAAGAAAATGCTCAATTGAACGACACCAAAATCATGCAAATTTAATCACTTCCGGTTGAAAATTTTGGTCTTTATTGCTGTGGTCCAAAACCTATGAAAGGTCCTAATAATATGTCATCAGGAAATCTAACAATATTCAATTTATTAAGCAACTAAACCTTGTATGATCCATGGTAATATGACCTAATCATTACAAACACAGCGTTTCTCCATTATTGATCGACTTGCTGACTTCAGATTCAATATGTTATGTGTTATCCGATAGAATGATGAACCACCAATTCCATATCATAGGAGTAAATGTCGTCCTAGCAACACATTTCACTCAGATCAACGCCGTGAAATGCTTACTGCCTGTGATAAGGGTTTGAAAACATTCTAAGAAGACTTGACACTTTTATATAAAACAAATGGATATTCGGCCTCAATCGCTGTACAAGAATTTTTCATGGGACTGTTAGTAATCATTAGAAAGCTTGGATTTCTGGCTGAAGCTGTACGTGGCCGGTTTACAAAACACCCCTTGTAACGCTGTGAAATCCAAAACAATATTACATTACACACGGCCACGCGTTTTTCTCCCTATCTCATCTATATTTCGCTGGACAAATCTCCTTCATTAGACTTCTAGCACTCTCTCGATATCTCAGGTCTCAAAGAACTGAAAAGTGTGTTTGCTCATTGGAAAAGCTTTTATTATAGCACTGTAGAAAGATTAAAATATTTGTGTCTTACATCTCGCCTGACAGAGTTCTTTCTTTAGACTATTAGTAATGATTCGATAGAGTGTTTCAATATTTCCAAAGCTCTGCTTATTTTCTGGAAAGGTCGTTTCAGTGCAGTGTATCAGGGAAAATAAGATCGAGTTTCACATATCTGGAGCCTTGGAAACTCCAGATAAAACGACTGAGTCAGATATTACGATTTTTCTACACGTTCATGCTTTTCGTGCTTCCAGTGAATTATCCGCCTGACAAAAATGAAGACGCGCGGCCAATATAAATTTAAAACAATTTTGTTTCGAATTTCACGGCGTTATAGGAGGGTATTTTCAAAAGAACCACCAAGTGCGGCTGTAGCTAGAAGTCTAAGCTTTCGAATGATCACTAACATTCTTATGAAAAATTTTTGTACAGCAAATAGGTCGAATATTCAACTGTTCCCTTATAACCAAAGAGTACCAAGACTTCAATTAAAATGTAGCTATATATTCGCGTGAATCTACTTGAATTACTCAATTTTAGTGCTTTTTTGAGCAGTGTTCCAATATTGTAAATTTACATCTAGGAATACTGAGTGGCATGCAAAACAATCGACCTCAGACGGGAGCTGAATCCGCGATTCACCCATACCGGGGACGCGTGCTCCCACTACACTACCGAGGCCACTACTCTGCTATCACTCTTTCTTCGATATAATGCATCAAAGCTCTCAGCAAACAGTATTTAACGGTTACGCTCGGGTAAGCACATATCGGCAGTGAATCCAGTTAAAGCGTTGAATATTTCGTACATATCCGGTGATGTTGAGGATATGCAAAAACTTTTGCGCCAGTTGGGACTCGAACCCACATGTCACCCTATTCGGGGCGTGTGCCCTACCTAACGATAGATGCGTTGTAGCGTAGAAAAAGTTTGTGGCAAAACAAACGTCTGTAGTGCACAGGATAGGCACGCACCCCACATAGAGTGAAATGTGGGTTCGAATCCCACCTGATGCAAAAGTCTCGCACATCATTCCACATCACTGTAAATATAATGACTCATACCACCACTAGAAGCGTTAAAATAAAAAAGAAATCTATTTTGCATATATGAAGTGTTTGAAGTCTTTATTTTTACTCCTTTTCTCAAAGCAGTGTTATGCTGTTATAAATACACATTCGGAGTATTGGTAACATACTGGCCGCGTAATAAGACGACGAAGGAATGACAAATGGACGAGAATAGTGAAGTAGACCCCCAAGAAAATGCAAGCGTCCTCTTGGAAGACCACCCAAACGACAGGCAGACGTGTTCGTAGCTAACGTCAACAATTCACTTCCGCAGATGGTAACGAGCTTAGAATTACGGAATGGGCCTCGCGTACGTCACCACACTCGAAGCAGACCACCACCATGAAAGACAATTGCACGAGAGAGAAACGAATGGGAACTAATCTGGGGCTCGCACTAAATTCGCATAGATGATGGTTGCACAGCAGCAAGTTTATATGAGTGCTGAATCATGTGGCACATGTCTAGAAAAGCAACATGATAAATCCACCTAGAACATAATGTACTTCATGAGTACGCGATTTCCTTAGAGGTATTTGGATACGATTCTTCAGAAAAGATCACACTTCCACGTAACGTACTTAGTATTTAAGACAATAAGAACTCTATCTGTAAAAGAAAAATTTTCCTAATTTTAATGAAACATTCCAGGTTCTTTTCAGTTATGAGGGAACAGATAGAAAACCGATCTCATTCTCTGGAGAAGAACTTTTCATAGAGATTTTAATAACCATTCGAAAAACTGAGATTTCTGGCTACAAACTCACGTAGGCTTTCAAAAAAAAAAACCATTTCATGACGCTGTGAAACTCAAAATAGAACTATGTCTCAAACGCGCATAGTTCTCGCCGGACAGAGCTCTTTCTACGGATAAATCATCATCATTATATATCATTTCGATAAAATTCCTGCAAGCTAGAACGTCCTAACTGCTTCCAAAAGTGGCTCGAAGGCATTCGGATACTACTACATTTTCTCTACACGTTCATATGCTTCAAATCGATCGGTAATTGCGTAACCCCCATTGCTGCCTCGCTTAGCTCCCGTGAATTGACCAAAGACCAGTTACTCGCGCATCTGAATCAATCTTCCTTTACCTGCTGTGGTGCAAAGAAACGATTTTCCCAGGATACAAGCATAGCGTTAGAATCAGCAAACATTACGCTATCGGAAGATTACTAAAAGTACAAAGGCAGGGCTGTGTCCGGCGAGAAATATGCGCGCCCGAAATACAAGGGTCTTCTGTAACAATGTCAAAAAGGCTTTTTTGAAAACCGCACACATGGGGCTGTAGCCAGAAATCTAAGCTCTCGAATGATTACTAACATTCCTATAAAAAGTTTATGTCCAGCGAACAAGGTCAGTTTTATCAGGCAACATATGTTAAGATGAAACTGATTGCTAAGTCATTAATCATAGGATACCTCTAAGTTTCTACAGTATCCGGGTCGAACATAGTGTTATATTCCATCTACACACATATCAACAAAGGGAACAGTGGATAATATTTATCACACAATAGTCTAAAGCAAATGCGTCATTTATTATACATTCCATTTCAAAAGAGGCAAAGGTGAAAAAACACGTAATAAAATTTGAAAAACGTCTGTTATGAGAAAACAAGGATAACGTTTACAACTTCTTTATTATATCAATAATAATATAAGCAAAAACTGGAAAGATGATCATTTAAAACAGGAAAAGACCCGAGTGTACCTGATTACTCAATGCTCGATAGGTGGACTGAAGTCCAAAGATAGAGCATTCGATTTTCCACTACCTGAAAAAAAGTGTTAACATATCCCTTTACGGACGGCGCCATTTTTGGCTGAGGGGCGGCTCGGACGGCTACGAAGAGAGGCTGAAGGCGCCTGCTAAAGGGCTAATGTGGTAGTTTTGTAATGACATTTGCACTTTTTTCGTAAACAATTGGATTTCTGCTTTAATAAATAGATGGTCAAATATGATAGAACAGACCTCAATAAGGTAAATTTTATAATGAACAACGTAATAGCTCCATTTAATGATCCACACTTCCAAACGGAAAAACCATATTTTATCAGAAGGCTATATTTAGACCCTTACCGAACATTTCTACAATATTTTAATTATACCTACCCAAAATTCAATAAAATTCATCTTTTATTTCTTCCAGTTTTCATGTGGCTCAGTGCATATAGTGCGTAAAATTCATCACCACGGCTGAAAATTGGAAAACAATGAATAGTTCGTCAAAAATAGTGCTGCTTATTGCGTAAAAATCTCACTTCATCGATGAATCTCAACTTTTTTCTTGATTATTAGTGCATCCAGATCTCATTCCTCATATCAGTGCATAAATTCGTTCGAATTTTTTACCCATACCTATGGTATACAAAGAAGAGATGGAGGTATAGCGGTTGCTTTGTGTTGTCTCCACCTGTTTGAGTTTGTTAAAACATATTTCTACTTTTGCAAGGCCTATTAGCAACTATTCGATAACTAGAATAAACTGAATCTGAACAACGTATTATATTCCTTGGTAAGCCTGTTTTTTTTAATGCTATGACAGACGAAACAAGGTCTTGTTTCACATTCAAGCATTTCTAGCCGAATAGAATATTTTGCTAAGGAATTCACAATCATTGAATGGGGCGAATCCTAGACGCAAATTTGGACCACTTTCGAAGTCCGCATGATCTCCAGAGAAAGGCGCATTTTCTGATTCTTTTGAGAATTTCTCAAATGGCTTGATAGCTCAAATATCGTCAGATTTAAAAGTATACTTTAACATCATAATGGCTTCTTTAGTGGTCTCTAACAAAGAAAATAAAATGAACTTGCATGCTCAAGCATTTCTCGTTGAATAAAGCTCCTCCGCTGGAATTTCAAAAGTTGTTCGATATCTCAATTCTGAACTATTCACCTAGCAACCTTGTTTTTTGAAAACAACTCCCTGTTGTACTGTAGCAGTCAAAAGAGATTACATATTGCAATTAGTCGGTATGTTGCAAAAAGCGCGGCGACTTCGGGGCCAATGCCGTAAATTTTTACCCTTTGGAGTGCGAAACCCAATAATCTTTTGAGAGTCACAGCGCCCCAAAAAGTTTTCTTCAAAAATCAACTATGCCCTTGAGTTCGTTAAGATTTGCGCTATCGAAAGATTACTGATCGTTTTTATGAAGAACTTTATTCGGCGAGAAATCTCTAAATGTGAGACAAAATTTTATTTCGACTGTTGCAGCGTAAAAAACAAGCCATTTGAAAAATGAACAGTAACGTTTAAATTCATTTGATCTAAGCTACCGAATAAATACCAACAGTTTGTTAGAATAGGTCTTTTCGAGAAAAAGCCAAGGGTTCACGCGTGCAGTTCTTGAAATGCAGTTTCATGTGACAGGAATTATTTTCAAAAGTAAGGATTACAAAACAGTTGAGCATTATTCTTCTTAAAAAAACAACGTTTACAAAAGTTCTTCGATGATAAATTTGAGTTTTTCTAGCAAAAAATCTATAAGAATCGAAAACCTAACCACATGATCCAAAAAAACTGCTGTGAAATAGAAAAAGTAAATTGTGATTACAAAAAGTCACCTTTTATTTATTATTATAACGTATTTCAAGCTATTAATCAACTATAAAACATCAAGAAGATAGCAGAAAATGTTCGCTAACTGCTGTGAATATAATCCTATTCGCAGGAGTATGGTTTTCTTTCGAAAAGGAAAGGCCTTAAGTATTGTTAGCGTTGATCTTGCTAAAATCATTCATACAAGAGTCTCCTAAATAATATTTTATCATTTTGCGATAATCATGTCCCTTTGAGAACTTAATCAACCCGAATATGTGATACACCACGCACCACTCTTCGTAACCGTCCAAACGGCGCGCCCAGCTGAGGGTCATAATGACACTCATCGCTCGCAAAGGGATATACTACGGTTAGGAAGAAAGTTCTGGGGAACTTTGATAAGCATGATATAACTCCCATACATATCAGGGGAATATTACAGTTTCTTATGTGGAATTTACTCATTGAAGGCATACATAATAATCGTCTTTATGTTCGCTTTGTTACAAGACCACCGCCAGCGATTATTACGTCGTTATTGGACAAAAGGGTCTTTTACAGCGAGCTGCAGTTGATGAAATCAACGAAGTTGAAGGGGAAGGCATTACAAGCAAATCTGCTGCTGTCCACTGGTTTCAACGCTTCGATGCCGGAGATCTTGACCTCGACAATAATCCTCGTTCACGACGTCCATATGAAGTTGAACAACAAAGATCAGATGATTGCTGGCATTGGAATATGAACAACGTCAAGTGCTTGCGAGTTAGAAACTGAACAATGAACGAACAGATCCGAAACTTGGCGGCCGATGGCAGAGAGTCGTTGAAAACGATGGCCTTCATTTTGAAGAAGCCAATATTGTTTTTATTTTTAATTCATGCAGAAATTCCCTAATTACTACAAGTGCCCCGAACTTTCTTTACAACATAATTTAATGGTGATTGTGTCTTCAGCTTAAACAGTGATCCAAAAGTTGTTAAGATATCGATTGATTCAGGTACTTGGCCACAAGGTATCGAATGGATCCGTCATACGACTGGCTTCATCAAGACTTCGTTAGA